AAAAGTAAATAACCATGTAAAAACTATTTATTTTGCACTAGGTCTTGTTTTGGGTGACAACTTGGCTTTGAATTACATATTAGGTTTTTCACGATCTTTTTCTTCTACCTATTTTTGTAGATTCTGTAAAACAAGCAAAACAGAATGCCAAAATGAAGCTCAAGAAGTTTCTGACAAGCTACGCAACAAAGAAAATTATAAATCTGACGTTCAAATTAGTAACGTACAACAAACAGGTGTCAGAGAAAATTTGATTTTCAATAAATTGCATAGTTTTCATGTTATTGAAAATTTCGCAGTCGACCTTCTGCATGATCTTTTTGAAGGCGTTCTCAATTATGATTTATGTCACATAATAATGTACTTTATTGAAAATAAGTTTTTTGATCTAGTCTTTTTAAACTGTCAAAAAGCTAATTTCGATTATGATTTAACTGAAAAAGGCAATAAGTCACCGCCACTCAAAGCAGAACACCTAAAGAAATTTAAACTTAAAATGACCGGGAGAGAAATGATGTGCTTTATATACATTTTCCCATTACTTGTTGGTGAAAAAATACCTAAAAATAATAAAGTATGGTTATTTTTATTGAATTTGAGCGAACTGGTTGATTTAGTGCTTTTTTCAGAATTTTCTGAAATGGACATTCAAAGCCTCCAAGAGCACATTATGCTTCATAATGAACAATATGTTCATTTATTTAAAGATACGTTGAAACCTAAACACCATTTTTTAATTCACTATTGTAAAATAATAAGAGAATCTGGACCATTGATAAATCTTTGGACGTTTTTGTTTGAGCGCAAACATAGACAATTAAAAACGTACGCAAAAAATACAACATCGAGAAAAAACATATTATTATCTTTGGCAAGGAAATTTACATTTTGTTTTTCTGAATTTATACAAAATTTTGAAATTTTAGAATATAACTGCAGCAACCGACAATACTCTTCGAAAACTTCAAAATATTACAATGAATTTAAAAAGCACTTCACAACTGATATTACAGATGAAATAATTTGTTATTCATTTGTAAAGCGATATGGCACAATATTTAAAAAAGATTTTATAATATTTTTTTATAAACCCCAATTTACAGCGTACAAAATTTGTGAAGTCTTTAAACTAGAAAGTAATGTAAATTTGCTATGCAATGAAATCAAAATTAATAAATTTGAGAGCCATTTTCAGTCCTATTTAACAGGAGGAGAATTGCAAAACTTTTATATATTTAATTTAAAAGATATTATTTTCCCTATTATTAAGTATTATAATGTAAATAATAATAAGTATTTAAAACCTAAATTTAATTTTTAAGAACAATGAAATGAAATCAATGAAAAAAAAAAGTTTTAAAAACCTAAGTTTAATTTTAAGAACAATGAATTGAAATAAATGAAAAAAAAAAATAAGTTTTTGCATTTTTATTTAAGACAATTCCATTAGTATTAAATGTAAAGACAGGGAGACTTAATTTTAAAGTCAAAGATCTTTTAACCTAAGGAAGTGGTTTTTATTTGATGGCCTTATATTAAGAACGTCTTTACTTTAAATTAAAGACAACAATGTTCTTCGTTTAAGAAAATCTCCTTTAATTGAAGGCAATATTTTCCTCTTTTTAAGGAAACCGTACTTAAAAGTAGAATCGTGTTTCCTTAACTTAAGGAAGACATGTCTTTAGTGCTATTTCATTCCCATTTTTTCCTTAAAACAAGTAAATTTTCCTTAGTTTTAGGACACATTTTTTTGAGTGTAGTAGATTTTTGTCGTTCAACCAAAATCGACCCGTGTAAATGACATCTCAACCACTAGCTGGTCGATTTTCCAGTCTACAGATATCGACCCTTATAAGGCCGCTTTAGTTCCTTACTTGTACAAGGATACGAGGAGAAATTAATTGTTTTTTATAAAGATAAGAAATGCACATCTACTGCGAATACTTGATGTTTACTTACATTTTTGTAGTCCGAACCCAGCAGCCAGCTAGGGATCAAATTTGCCAACAGGGCTGCCAAACATACATAGCTATGAAATGCCATATTGAGGATAAAAAAGTGCTAAAACGTGCCAAATAGAAAATTAAAAGTGCAAAAAAAGGTGTCATTCTCTTTAATTCTTCCCATTAGCATTAAAATTAGACAAATTAAAAGCTTTTTTCCAAAAGTGCCATTTTGGCACTTTGTGCAAAATTTAAAAATTCAGTGCCATTTCAAGTAAAATAGTGCCAAAAATCACACGGTTTGAGCCAAGTTGGCAGCCCTGATCGCCAAGTTTTTTATTTAAAAAAGCACCAAAATACTGAAAATAGCGCAATTTTCCCCCAAAAAAAACACCAATTTTGTGTTGTGTTGTTTAATGGTATTTTCGCATATAAAGCTGTATGTTCAAATATCTTAAGTAATCACACAATGAAACTTGTAAATATTTCCAACTATGCGCAGTTAATCAATTTAATAAATTTAATTTGCAAAATGTTTTTTTATTCGTAAAACAATTTCCAAAACTTGGGTTTTCTGGGGGCTTTATTTTCATGCAATTGCTTACTTTTGTACAAATGCGCACACCCAGCTAATTAGCATAATATTCTATGGATTCCGTGATAGAGACTGTGTGAAAATATTGCGTTTGGATTATCTTGGAGCATATTATCCAGAGGAGAAGCTCGGCCAAACACTAACATATGTGTAAGTCAAATACAATGTCACCATAGAATGTCGTTTATTTACAGTTTTCCGTTTGTTTATTTAATATAAATTTTTTGTAAAAATATCGTCACTACATACGAATAAAGGCGCGCTGGTGTTTTGACGGTGAAAAAAAGCGTTTAAAACAATTTTGCAAAAAAAGATGCTTATAAAAAAACTTTGGCGAAGTATGTTAAGAGTATTTGACGCTGAAATTTTGTATGCGTCTTTTTTCGTCGTCAACTTTTGAGCTCGCGCCTTTATTCGTGTCTAGTGATGATATAGCATATTCTACGGGTAAATGCAATTTTAAAATTTTTTACAAACTAAAACTTAAAAGAAAGTTTATTTTCCATTTCTTTGGCAGCATTTTATATGATTTTTTCGTTTTTCTCGAGAGCTGGAAACAGTTCTTAAAAAAGGTCAACATAGGAGTGTGCCATCCTAATGACCTGCAGTGAATAAGTTAATATTTTTAGAAAAATTTCTGATATGCAGTTTTGTAGCCCATTCAATTATAGTGTAATTAAGTGCAAGTTTAAAGTGACTCTAAAACAGCCCCGATTTTTCAAATTCATTTATTTTT